GACAGACAGACAGACAGACAGACAGACAGACAGACAGACAGACAGACAGACAGACAGACAGACAGACAGACAGACAGACAGACAGACAGACAGACAGACAGACAGACAGACAGACAGACAGACAGACAGACAGACAGACAGACAGACAGACAGACAGACAGACAGACAGACAGACAGACAGACAGACAGACAGACAGACAGACAGACAGACAGACAGACAGACAGACAGACAGACAGACAGACAGACAGACAGACAGACAGACAGACAGACAGACAGACAGACAGACAGACAGACAGACAGACAGACAGACAGACAGACAGACAGACAGACAGACAGACAGACAGACAGACAGACAGACAGACAGACAGACAGACAGACAGACAGACAGACAGACAGACAGACAGACAGACAGACAGACAGACAGACAGACAGACGACAGACAGACAGACAGACAGACAGACAGACAGACAGACAGACAGACAGACAGACAGACAGACAGACAGACAGACAGACAGACAGACAGACAGACAGACAGACAGACAGACAGACAGACAGACAGACAGACAGACAGACAGACAGACAGACAGACAGACAGACAGACAGACAGACAGACAGACAGACAGACAGACAGACAGACAGACAGACAGACAGACAGACAGACAGACAGACAGACAGACAGACAGACAGACAGACAGACAGACAGACAGACAGACAGACAGACAGACAGACAGACAGACAGACAGACAGACAGACAGACAGACAGACAGACAGACAGACAGACAGACAGACAGACAGACAGACAGACAGACAGACAGACAGACAGACAGACAGACAGACAGACAGACAGACAGACAGACAGACAGACAGACAGACAGACAGACAGACAGACAGACAGACAGACAGACAGACAGACAGACAGACAGACAGACAGACAGACAGACAGACAGACAGACAGACAGACAGACAGACAGACAGACAGACAGACAGACAGACAGACAGACAGACAGACAGACAGACAGACAGACAGACAGACAGACAGACAGACAGACAGACAGACAGACAGACAGACAGACAGACAGACAGACAGACAGACAGACAGACAGACAGACAGACAGACAGACAGACAGACAGACAGACAGACAGACAGACAGACAGACAGACAGACAGACAGACCAGACAGACAGACAGACAGACAGACAGACAGACAGACAGACAGACCAGACAGACAGACAGACAGACAGACAGACAGACAGACAGACAGACAGACAGACAGACAGACAGACAGACAGACAGACAGACAGACAGACAGACAGACAGACAGACAGACAGACAGACAGACAGACAGACAGACAGACAGACAGACAGACAGACAGACAGACAGACAGACAGACAGACAGACAGACAGACAGACAGACAGACAGACAGACAGACAGACAGACAGACAGACAGACAGACAGACAGACAGACAGACAGACAGACAGACAGACAGACAGACAGACAGACAGACAGACAGACAGACAGACAGACAGACAGACAGACAGACAGACAGACAGACAGACAGACAGACAGACAGACAGACAGACAGACAGACAGACAGACAGACAGACAGACAGACAGACAGACAGACAGACAGACAGACAGACAGACAGACAGACAGACAGACAGACAGACAGACAGACAGACAGACAGACAGACAGACAGACAGACAGACAGACAGACAGACAGACAGACAGACAGACAGACAGACAGACAGACAGACAGACAGACAGACAGACAGACAGACAGACAGACAGACAGACAGACAGACAGACAGACAGACAGACAGACAGACAGACAGACAGACAGACAGACAGACAGACAGACAGACAGACAGACAGACAGACAGACAGACAGACAGACAGACAGACAGACAGACAGACAGACAGACAGACAGACAGACAGACAGACAGACAGACAGACAGACAGACAGACAGACAGACAGACAGACAGACAGACAGACAGACAGACAGACAGACAGACAGACAGACAGACAGACAGACAGACAGACAGACAGACAGACAGACAGACAGACAGACAGACAGACAGACAGACAGACAGACAGACAGACAGACAGACAGACAGACAGACAGACAGACAGACAGACAGACAGACAGACAGACAGACAGACAGACAGACAGACAGACAGACAGACAGACAGACAGACAGACAGACAGACAGACAGACAGACAGACAGACAGACAGACAGACAGACAGACAGACAGACAGACAGACAGACAGACAGTTCTAACATTTCAGGCTTCAAACATAAAGATATAAAATTTTATTTCTTTGTCATGAATCAACAACAAGTGGGACACAATCGTGAAGTGGAACGACATTTATTGGGTAATCTAAACTTTAACAAATAAAAAACTGAAAAGTGGGGCGTGCAATATTATTCGGCCCCTTTACTTTCAGTGCAGCAAACTCACTCCAGAAGTTCAGTGAGGATCTTTGAATGATCCAATGTTGTCCTAAATGACTGATGATGATAAATAGAATGCACCTGTGTGTAATCAAGTCTCCGTATAAATGCACCTGCTCTTTGATAGTCTCAGGGTTCTGTTTTAAAGCACAGAGAGAACCATGAAGACAAAGGAACACACCAGGCAGCTCCGAGATACTGTTGTGGAGAAGTTTAAAGCCGGATTTGGATACAAAAAGATTTACCAAGCTTTAAACATCTCAAGGAGCACTGTGCAAGCAATTATATTGAAATGGAAGGATTATCAGACCACTGCAAATCTACCAAGACCCGGCCGTCCCTCCAAACTTTCATCTCAAACAAGGAGAAGACTGATCAGAGATGCAGCCAAGAGGCCCATGATCGCTCTGGATGAACTGCAGATAACTACAGCTGAGGTGGGGATGGTGTGTTCAGGGTGATGAGCTGTGTTGTTTTTACGCCAAACATATCGTTTTGCATTGTGGTCACAAAGTTCAATTTTGGTTTCATCTGACCAGAGCACCTTCTTCCACATGTTTGGTGTGTCTCCCAGGTCGCTTGTGGCAAACTTTAAGACTTTTTATGGATATCTTTGAGAAAAGGCTTTCTTCTTGCCACTCTTCCATAAAGGCCAGATTTGTGCAGTGCACGACTGACTGTTGTCCTATGGACAGACTCTCCCACCTCAGCTGTAGTTATCTGCAGTTCATCCAGAGTGATCATGGGCCTCTTGACTGCATCTCTGATCAGTCTTCTCCTTGTTTGAGAAGAAAGTTTGGAGGGACGGCCTCCAAGTGGGCCTGAGCACGCTTGTAAAGCCCTGATGAGGGGGGTCAGTGTGGCGGGTGGTGGGGAGTGGGGGATGAGGTCTGGTGGGGACTTGATATTGTGCGTCACATTACGTCTTCTGTTGTGACACGCATTTTCACACACGTCTCTTCCTGCACTTTCGTATTCTCCGCTTGTGTTAAACCTTTCATAGAACCGTGGTCGAGGGGCGCAGGGGAGTTTGTCGTTCCAGGGCCAAAGGGAAGCGTTTCCTACGGGAATAACTCCCTTCTGTCCTCCTGACCCTCGCTCTCACAGTGTGGTGCTATTGCAATAGCACTTCAGACATTCAAGAATCAGTCTTTTTATTTATTTATTTAATCGCCAGAACACACCAACACACACTTGTATCCTGCCTGGCTCCGGTTGCTATGATCATACGCAACACTTTTCATTCTTTCATTCTCATTCATTCATTTCTCTGCGCTCTTAGGCTCGTTACTAAAGAGGCCCGCTTCCGTGTCACGCACACGCACGCACACATGCACACACACACACACACATTACCCACTGAACATCTGGCTAATTCTCATGTGTATAAATACTTATGAACCCCAAAAAACATAGAATGTGATTTCCAGATGTATTGTTTTAAATTATGTATCTAACAGTGGAATTACATGATGAACATTTCAGGCCTTTCCCTACTTTCTAAGTAATTTCTTGCAAAATTGCAGGGTGTGCAAATACCTCACTGTAAATCGTATCATGAGCTGAATATTGTGTATCGGGAGATTAGTGTACACCCCTGTGCACAACCCACTTTATATTTTTGAGTCTTGATTGTTTTACAATCTCATGATTCCTTGCTCAAGTGGTTTTATCAATAGATCTTTTTTATTTCACTCTTTTAGATCATCTTTTTTTGTAAGTGAAAAGGAGAGGACCACTCTTTCAGCCCAAAGAGTCAAATGGTGACTCACTGGTATGCAAATATGATCTAACATGATGTGGTTTGATGTGTTACTTTTAAGGTTTCAACCCTTGTTCTTTGAGTGATGCTGCTAGCTCTCATCGTTCTACAGCAGGTGTATTCAAACTAAGGCAGGGGTGTCCAAACCGGTCCAGAAAGGGCCGCTGTGGCTGCAGGTTTTCTATCAGACCCAGCAGGACCAGAGCAGACTCCACCCATTTCCTCAAATCTTCAAGTTAAGACTGAACTCACTTGAGGAAATGGGTGGAGTCTACTCTGCTTCTGTTGGGTCTGATAGAAAACCTGCAGCCACAGCGGCCCTTTCTGGACCGGTTTGGACACCCCTGAACTAAGGCCTGGGGGCCAATTGCGGCCCAGTCATCACAGACATGCTATACCTCATTGTAAAGCTCAGTCCTGCTTTGATTCTGTAATTGACCTTTTTTGTGATATCTCAAAATTTATTTGTGATCATTTCACAAACTCTTATATAGCTAATTACATTTTTTTTTTAACTTTCAGCCAACATTAGCTCTGTCAAATGTGAATCCCTCAGTCTCAATATGGGCCTCTCAGAGGTTTCCACTGTTTTATTTTTGTATCATTCCTCACCAATGCAGGAAGGTCTCTGGGACATTCAAGACATTTTTGGACGATTACTAAAATTCATGGGCAGTGGTCATCCCACTCCTTTTAGACCATTGACTCCTATGTTTTTATTACCTGTGTTCAAACTGCTTTCACTCCAGCTCTAACCCTGACCCTCTTTGCAGGTGAGATGGTGAAGTGAATCTGTCTGCATTAGCGTCCCTGGTGCAGCAGCCATGACTGAGTGTTTCCTGCCCCCCACCAGCAGCCCGGCGGAGCAGAGGCGGACAGAGCACCCGGGTGCAGTGGCCCGCACCCCCAGCTCAGAGGAAATCAGTCCGACCAAGTTCCCTGGACTGTACCGCACCGGAGAGCCCTCCCCTTCTCACGATGGACACCACCACGAGCTGCCCGACGTGTACGTGTCTGATGACGACAAAGAGCACAGCAAGAAGAAGAATAAGTTCAAGAAGAAGGAGAAGAGAAGTAAGGGCACATTTCACTCAGGCTGTGATGATTTGAGTAATTGCCATAGGATATGGATATACAGTGCGTCCGGAAAGTATTCACAGCACTTTAATTTTTTCACATTTTGTTACGTTACAGCCTTATTCCAAAATTGATTCAATTCATTTTTTCCCCTACACATAAAATCCCATAATGACAACTTACAAATAAAAAGCGAATAAATCACATGTAAATAAGTATTCACAGCCTTTGTCATAAAGCTCAAAATTGAGCTCTGGTGCATCCTGTTTCCACCGATCATCCTTGAGATGCTTCTACTGCTTAATTGGAGTCCCTGTGGTAAATTCAGTTGATTTGACTTGATTTGGAAAGGCACTCACCCGTATATACAGGTCCTTCTAAAACAATTAGCATATTGAGATAAACTTCATTATTTTCCTTAATGTACTGATAAACAGTGGACTTTCATAAATTCATTTCATAGATTCATTACACACAACTGAAGTACTTCAAGCCTTTTATTGTTTTAATATTGATTTGGCAAAAAAAGTAAAGAAAAACAATCCCTATCTAAAAAAAAAAGCATATTTCATCCGACAAATAAAAGTTTTTTTTCATACAAAAATGTCATCCTTCAAATAATGATGTTCAGTTATGCACTCAATACTTGATCAGGAATCCTTTTGTAGAAATGAATGCTTCAATATGGCGTGTCATGGAGGCAATCAACCTGTGACACTGCTGAGGTGTTATGGAGGCCCAGGATGCTTCGATAGTGGCCTTAAGTTCATCCACAGTGTTGGGTCTGGTGACTCTCAACTTCCTCTTCCCAATATCTCACAGATTCTCCATGGGGTTCAGGTCAGTAGATTTGGCAGGCCAATTGAGTACAGTAATCCCACGGTCAGTAAACCATTTACCAGTGGTTTTGGCACTGTGAGCAGGTGCCAGGTCGTGCTGAAAAAGGAATTCTTCATCTCCATAAAGCTTTTCAGCAGATGGAAGCATGAAGTGCTCCAAAATCTCCTGATAGCCAGCTGCATTGTCCCTGCCCTTGATAAAACACAGTGGACCACCACCATCACTGACTGTGGGTGCTTGACACTGGACTTCTCCCCAGTCTTCCTCCACACTCTGGCACCTTGATTTCATCCGGAAAAAGTACTTTGGACCATTGAGCAACATTCCAGTGCTGCTTCTCTGTAGCCCAGGTCAGGCGCTTCTGCCACTGTTTCTGATTGTGATTTCCTGCACACACCTGTGCACGATGGCTGTGGATGTTTCTGCTCCAGACTCAGTCCACTGCTTCTGCAAGTCCCCCAAGGTCTGGAATTGGCCCTTCTCCACCATCCTCCGGTCACCTCTTGGAGTTGTGCAGCATTTTCTGCCACACTTTTTCCTTCCCACAGACTTCCCACTGAGGTGCCTTGATAGAGCACTATGGGAACAGCCTATTCGCTCAGAAATGTCTTTCTGTGTCTTAGGGGTGGGCGATATATATCGTAGACGATAATATCGCGAAAGTGAATTTGACGATATGCTTTTTTGCAATATCGTGAATATAAAAAAAAACAAAACGTGTTTTTTTTTGTACATGTCTCCAATACATCTTTCACTTAGAGCAGGCACGATGCCCATTCGTCAAATGTGTGCCTAAAGTCCAATCACTGAAAGCCTATTCGACACAAACTCATCTTTACGTCTGCACCTGAACACCTCACCACGTGAATGGTGCGCGTTCACAACACAGACGGCGTGGTGCCATAGACGCTGCTTTGACATGCAGGGACACCGCGAAATGGAGGAAAAGACTTTGTACGTTGTCTGTGCGTTTTTATGACCCAAGAAGGAAGTTCCTGTAGTTCTTGTGATCTTTAGAAGAGTCTGGGAAGAAAGATTTACGTTGTGTAGTTTGTCATTATTTGCAAAAGAGTTTTCCTGATCTGTGTTTGTCTGCAGCTAATTAAGCTAACTATGCTACATTAAGCTAATTATGCTATTATTATTTGTCATATTTAGGGCAAGTTTATTTATATAGCACAATTCATACACAAGGTAATTCAAAGTGCTGAACAAAACAAAGCATTAAAATCATAAATTATCACAGAACATTAAAAAGAAAGATAAAAATATAAAATCCCTCAGTTGTATGCACAGTTAAACAGAACTGTCTTTAACCTGGTTTTAAACATTGTCAGAGAGGAGGCCTGTCTCACATCTTCAGGAAGACTGTTCCAGATTTTAGCAGCATGAATCTGAAAAGCAGCCTCCCCATGTTTAGTTCTGACTCTGGGCACTAACAGGAGTCCAGTCCCTGTGCTCCTCAGAGTCCGGGCTGGTTCATATGGGACTAACATGTCACTAATATATTTTGGTGCGAGGCTATGGAGAGACTTGTACACAAGCAGAGCTGTTTTAAAGTCTATTCTCTGAGCCACAGGAAGCCAGTGCAGAGACCTGAGAACTGGACTAATATGGTCGTACTTCCTGGTTCTAGTCAGGACTCGAGCTGCTGCATTTTGAATGTATTGCAGCTGTTTTACAGCCTGTTTGGACAGACCTGTGAGCAGGCCATTGCAGTAGTCTAACCTACTGGAGACAAATGCATGGATAAGAATCTCCAGGTCTGCTTTAGACACTATGTTTTTGATCCTGGCAATGTTTTTTAGATGGTAAAAAGCTGCTGATGTTACTGATTTGATGTGGCTATTAAAATTTAAGTCTGAGTCCAGTATTACCCCTAGATAACTGACCTTGTTTGAAGGTTTTAGGGAGAGAGACTGTAGGTGACAGATGACGCTCTCTTTGTTTCTGGGGACCAAAGACAATCATTTCAGTTTTGTCTGCGTTTAGCTGAAGGAAGTTGTTTTGCATCCACTCACTGATCTGTTGGATACAGTGAAGGAGTGAGTCCACTGGTCCATGTTCTCCTGCAGTCAGTGAGACATAGATCTGAGTGTCGTCTGCATAGTTATGATAGGAAACTTCGTTTCTGCGTATTAACTGACCTAACGGCAGCATGTAGAGATTGAACAGAAGAGGTCCCAGGATCGACCCCTGTGGGACTCCACAGGTCAGTGCCATATGATCTGAGACACAGTTTCCAATCTCCACAAAGTACTTCCTGTCTTCAAGGTAAGACCCAAACCAACTTAGGGCGGTGCCAGTGACGCCAACCCAGTCCTCTAGTCTCTGTAAGAGGATCTCATGGTCGACGGTGTCAAAGGCAGCACTCAGATCTAACAAGATTAAGATTGAGACTTTGCCTGCGTCAGTGTTCAGCCGGATATCGTTTGTAACCTTAACGAGAGCAGTCTCAGTGCTGTGGTGGGGTCTAAAGCCGGACTGAAACATATCAAATGAGTTGTTGATTATAAGAAATCTAGTAAGCTGTAGGTAGACAACTTTCTCAAGGACTTTCCCCATAAATGGCAGATTTGAGATGGGACGATAGTTGTTAAGTACCGTAGCATCGAGACTGCTCTTTTTTAGCAGGGGCCTGATGACTGCAGTTTTCAGGGCCTTTGGGAATATTCCAGAATGAAGGGACATGTTTACTATCTGTGTGAGTGAAGGTAACAGACTGCTCAGAACAGACTTCAGAAATCTAGTGGATAGTACATCCAAGCTGCATGTGGAGGAGCTCAAACTGGAGATTATCTCTTGGACAGTTTGATCATTTACAGGTGCAAAGTGAGTTAGCTCAGAGAGCCTTTCTGGCTGTTGGATGGTTATCTGTGGATTGGAGACAATGGCGTTTTTGATGCCTTGAACCTTGTAATTGAAAAAATTAGCAAACTCATTGCATTTACGTTTGGAAGTAAGCTCTAATGGCATTTGAACAGGGGGGTTTGTTAATCTATTAACCGTTGAGAACAGAACACGCAGATTGTTGCTGTAGCCTTCAATCATTTCAGAAAAATACCTTTCTCTCGTACTACGTAGCACCCGGTTAAACTCGCACAACTTATCTTTGAAGATCTCTTAATCAACCTGGAGGTTGGACTCGACTATTTACTTCCCTGCACCTTTGTAATGTTAGTTTCCATTTGAGCTACCTCTGTTTGTGGTTTACATCACTTATTTACTTATTTTATCTCAACTTTATATAGACCTTAAAGGGGACCTATGTTGGATTTTTATGTTATTAATTTTATGACTTATTTTATTCCTTTATGCCTACTAGCCCAGACACATACGCTATTGATTTTTGAATGTGTTATTTGCTATAGAATAATTATTAATACTGTTTTTCTTTGTCTATTTCTGTTTCCTTAGCCACACACAATTGTACACTCAACAACAATACAATGTACAAACCGTGATCACCTGCCAAACCTGCCATAAAGCTGATTATAGATTCTCTACCCGAGGTCTGTCGATAGTGTCCCCAACCATAAAAGAACCTGTCTATTCTTCAGTGTGAAGAATTTGGTTTTTAATGTTAATGTATGTTTGTGCATGTTTTGCAAAGATGTGTGAAGCACTTTACAAATAATAAGCTACTATTTTGATCTACACTGTCTCCATCTATAGATGCCCTGGTAAGAAAAATATTGCAGATCATTTTGTGTAAAAATGATTGATTTTAAAGATGTGACAATATCGTCATCGTGAGTTGCGGAAAAAATATCGATATTTATTTTTTCCCATATCGCCCACCTCTACTGTGTCTTACCCTCTTGCTTGACGGTGTCAATGATTGCCTTCTGGACAGCAGTCAGGTAGTCTTACCCATGATTGCAGTTTTGAGTAATGAACCAGACCGGGAGTTTTTAAAAGCCTCAGGAATCTTCTGCAAGTGTTTAGAATTAATTTGTTGGTTCAGATGATTAGGTTAATGGCTCGTTTAGAGTACCTTTTCATGATATGCTAATTTTCTGAGAGGGATTTTTGGTTTTTCTTTACTTTTTTTGCCAAATTCATCAATACTAAAACAATAAAGGCTTGAACTACTTCAGTTGTGTGTAAATTAATCTAAAATATATGAAAGTCTAATGTTTATCAGTACATTACAGAAAATAATGAACTTTATCACAATATGCAAATTTTTTGAGACCCTCCGCTACACCACTGCTACACAGCTGCTGATGCTACATGTGTGTCACATGATCTCTCTATGGTTTTCACACAGATTGTGCTGAGCACAGCAGGTCAAGCACTTGAGTTCACATGGTCAGTGTCCGAGTCATTCCTTTAAGTTTCGTGCTGTGCTGAATTTTCTATTAAATACTTGCTGTTTGTCCGTCACTTGCCCGGTGTCCTGAAAAGGTAGGAGCCAGTTCTGCAGGGGGTAAGCAGGGTCCCCTAGGAGGTAATAACCAGCTATCCCCGATTATTAAAATAAATCCATGGCACCACACCAATGTGACTGGTTACATGTTGCGCGTAAATTACGTGGTCTGACAACCCCTCCCACGCTGAAACCGTACCGTACCGTTACTGTGGAAAAGCGGCAAAAGTGGTCACGGGGACATTAGTGGTCTGAGCGAGCAGACTGAAAATACTCAGCCAAAAAATACAGCCAAAACAGGAGCTCTAAACCAGGGTTGACAATGGGAGACACAGTGCTTGTGAACATATGCGTTCTCATGTGACTGTATACAACTGCTTCGCGCGTGTTCGCCGATGCGGAAGTATTGTTCAATAATAAAAGAAACTTATGACGCACCTCCATAAACACATACTGCTGATAAAGTATAAAATCTCTGGAAGGTCTCTGGACACAGAGACGCTGCAGCGCTGCATTATTGGAGAACAACTTTACACAAAAAGCCACTAGCTTAACTCTGTTAGCATCAAAGTCCGCCTGCTACTTCCCCCACTTCCGGCCACCGCTGGTCTGAACACCCCTGCGTCTGAAATGTAGAGAAAGTTTATCTGGTGCGCAGAAGCTGCGTTCCAGCGTCGGTGGTCTGAACACCCCATTATACTGGCTACCTCGCTTCTGTCAGTGTGCCCGAGGGTGTCTGTGGCTACTGTAGTAGTTTATCACCACTGTGGTTGACGTGAAAGAATAATGCCTTGTGAACAGTGTTTGTGTCCAAAAAACGTTGTTTAAAACTAGTGCATTATCATAATCATTAATACTACCAGTAATGAAAAAGAAATGTGAATAAAAATGCACTGAAGTCATGTAGCCCGGATGGATCCTGATCTGCTCCTACAACATAAGAATGCAGAAAGGTGCTTTCACACCGGACTCAACTTCAAACGCGTCAGGTTTGCATTGAAAATGAATGGTGAAGCGCGGCTGGTGACGCCGGTGTAGCAGGCCAGTTTAACCCCCCGCCAGAATACACCCGGGGTTAAAGTAGCCTAGGCCAGATTACACCCCGGGGTATAAACTGGCCTAGGCTATTTTAACCCCCCTTTGGCCAGATTAACCCCCTTTCATTTTGTATGATAACAATAAAATACAAGCAATATTTTAATTTCTTTATTTCTTACTAAATACATTTAGGAAAAGATATGGTGGTGATATTCTATATAAAACTATAACAATGATAAAATTAAAACAATGATAAAACTAAAGCAATGATAAAACTATAACACTCCTAATACTCCCGTACTGTACTTTGCAGTAACCTTACTACACCATACAGTCTCATCACTCGACACCAATCACAGCACTAAAGCGCTCGGACTTGTTCTCAAGGTATATGACAGATTCTGATGTCTCCTGTAGATTGAAAGATGCTGGATATGTCAGCCACTGCATACTTCCCCATGCTTTGTATACACTATTACATCATTGCCTATGAGGGAAGCTGTGGCCATTATTTCTGCATCTGTGCCCACACACCACACTTATCCAGTAGCATATAGCAGTAGATGTCATTTAGTCATTTATTGACTGATTGAGGTAACAGGAAAGTTTGTCTTTAATGCTGATGTTCATATGTTGAACCACACTATCACGGAGAGAGATGGTATTCCTCAGATCCTGTGAATATATAACTCCATCCATCCATCCATTTTCTTCCCCTTAATCCATTTCTGGGTCAGGGGGGGTGACAGTCAGAGCTGCACCCAGTCACAACGCACCAGCCCCTCACTGATCCTCCTGCAGGTGGTGAGTCCACAGGAGCTGAGATCTTTCAGCGGGGTCTTCAGGCAAAGTGGGGTTAAGTGTCTTGCCCAAGGACACAACGTATCTACAAACTTCATGTGAGAAGTTTGTAGATACATTGACTCATCACCTCACAACACGATTGTGTTCTACAAAAGTTCTCTGACTCTGCCATCATCGGACTCAGCTCTGAGGACGATGACACAGAGTACAGAGGAGTTATACAAGACTTTGTGGACTGGTGTCAGTGGAACCACCTCCTCATCAACGCGGGGAAGACCAAGGAGATGGTGGTGGATTTCCGCAGACGTCACTCTGCCGCTCCAGCTCCAGTGAACATCCAGGGAAAGGACATTGAGAGAGTGGACTCTAACAAGTACCTGGGTGTTCATCTGAACCACAAACTGGACTGGACTCATAACACAGACGCCCTCTTCAAGAAGGGCCAGAGTCGCCTCTACCTACTGAGGAGGCTCAAGTCTTTGAGTGCAGGGGCCACTCCTGAAGACCTTCTATGACTCTGTGGTGGCATCAGCCATCTTGTACGGTGTGGTCTGCTGGAACAGCAGCATCACAGAGAGGGACATGAAGAAGCTGGACAAGGTCATCAGGAAGTCCAGCTCAGTCCTGGGCTGTTCCCTGGACACAGTGCAGCAGGTGGGGGACAGGAGGGTCCTGGACAAACTAACATCTATGCTGGACCATGACTGTCACCCCCTGCAGGACACTCTCTCTGCTCTGGAGAGCAGCTTCAGTGATAGACTTATTCACCCTCGCTGTGTGAAGGAGAGGTTCCGCAGGTCTTTCCTTCCTGCTGCTGTCAAACTGTACAACAAACAATAAGGACCAATAAGGACTAATGAACACTGCAAACTTGATTCCAGTGTCATTCTCGCATCGTTGCAATATCCTTACCTTATACCAGAATGTGCAATACACAGCCGCCAATATACAATTGTAAACATACTGCTGATAATGTACAGTTGTAAACATACTACTGCTAATGTACAGATGCTAACATATAACTACACTTTACTTGCTCACTTTACTAGATTACACAGTACTTTATACTTGCCTCTTATTTTGTCAATTTTAAATTTTTACATCTATTATATTTAATGTCCCTTGGTCTGAATGTTGCCATGTGTAAATGGATTTTTAGCTTTTTAACTGACAGATCTCAGAGAGTAAAAATCAATGACTGTTTTTCAGACGTTGTTTCTGTGAGCACTGGTTCTCCTCAGGGATGTATTTTAAGTCCTTTGCTTTTTACTCTGTACACTCACGATTGTGTGTCCTCCTCTGACTCTAACTTGATCATCAAATACGCTGATGACACCACCATCATCGGTCTCATCAGTGACAATGATGATTCCTCTTATAGATGATTTTAAATAATTTTTAAGTTTAGAAAAAATATTTAATAACGTATATTTTATCATCATTAGATAAAACAAGAGGGGGGTTCATCTGGCCTAAGGGGGGTTAAAATAGCCTAGGCCAGAATAAACCCCGGGGTGTATTCTGGCCTAGGCTATTTTAACCCCGGGGTGTAAACCGGCCAGGGGGTTTAAAACGGGCTTGATGCGCGTAACACTTGAAGTTGAGAAAAAGCTGAGCTTTTTGAGCTTGACGCCGGGTTTCAACCAATCAGGAGACGAGAACCAGTAGTAGTAGTAGCAGCAGCAGCAGCAGCGAGTGACATCCGGAAGTACAGCTGAAAGCGAAACTCATCCGTACGCAGCTCCTGTAGTAAATGGTGAAACTCTGCAAACACTGCAGCCTCTCAAGTCTGTGGGGAATCCAGAACACGTTTTGTAGAAACCCTACGACAACGTTGTTAGGCTTTATATAATAAATAAAGGCTCGCTGCTTCTGGCCACCCTGCGGAAAGCCACTGTTCCAGCTTCTTCCCTCTGGCAGCGTCAAGCGTGTCAGGAGCTTCAAGCACCAAGGGGTGTTCACACCGGGCCCAGCGTCAAACAACTCGCGTCAAAAGCTTTTTGAAGCTTTTGGTCTGAAAGCACCTTTTTAGTGTTGTTTGAAATCTTCTAAAGTCCTGCTTTATGCCCCTTTAAGGTGATCTTACTTAAAATTGGGTTTTATTATTTATGAATATTTTAGACATTGGGTAGTAAATACATGTTGGCCTATAGTTTACAACTGTGGACATTTTTTTTGGTAAATCACGATTGTCAACACCTGAATTAACTTTCAAGAACGTAAAATCCAGTCTTTGAGCTTTTTTATTAAATCTCTAAGCAGCACTCTTTGTCCCGATGGCCACAAGTCTGCAGTTTTGCATTCAGTCAATTCAAACCAATGTGTTCCCACTTTAGCTTAGAATATCTCAGAGAGGCATGTAAAAATAAAACGGCTTTAAGTTCTGATAGCTTTTAAGTCTCACGTTTCAAACCTGGTGCAGCACGTGTAGCTAGAACTTCTAATACTCTAGAAATGCGGTCCTCTGTAAATGGTCAAGTATTCTCTAGATTGCAAGGACCCTAGGCCAAAGTTGTTCAAAGCGGCCTGACATTCAATGAGTTGGCATTGAAACACACCAATCATGACAACTCACTCATTTAATGAAAAAAAAGTTAGGTCAATCAATCATCTACCATCATCAATCAGTCCACTTTTTGCCTTGATTCAAATACAGAGGAGGAACAAACTTTATCCACATGTTTCTTCAGCACAACACTGAAATGTTTGTGTGTGCATGTTCAAGTGCAGCGTTTTGGGAGCTGTGTGAGCTATTAAGAAACTGACCTATTTTCCTATGCTCTGCTTTCGCTACACTCTTCCTCTTTTACAGCTATTCTGGATCTGTCGGCGTGAGGAAGAACCATTTCACCGCTGTAGTTTTAACTTTAAATCTTTGTCTTTTGAACCAGCCGAGGGGTACGCGGCCTTCCAGGAGGACAGCTCCGCGGACGAAGCAGAGAGTCCGTCCAAAATGAAACGCTCCAAAGGCATCCATGTGTTCAAGAAACCTAGCTTCTCCAAGAAAAAGGAGAAGGACTTTAAGGTAAGACAAAATGCAACATCCGCAGGTATTGATTTTGAAAGCATACATACGACAATTCAGAGTGTGGTTGAAGTATGTAACAAACAAGCATGTTGATTTAAGACTGCACCATCGCATTTTAATAATTTTAAATAGCACTTTTTTAGACACTCCTCCACAGTGGTGATTAACTACTACTGTAGCCGCAGCTGCCCTGGGGCAGACTGACCAGAGTCGAGGATACCCATATGAAATTGGCCCCACCAACCTCACAAAGACTCACAATAGGCAGTGTGGGTGAAGTGTCTTGCTTAAGAGCACAACGACAGTTTGGCACTTTACAGCCTTTACAGTACTAACCAGGCCCTGCCATGCTTTGGTCTGACAGGATCTGGCTTTCACATGCAGTATCATTCGCCTTGTGGATAACTGGAACAATATTTTTGCGTCATTGATTTAGTGAGAATCTTGTTTTGTAATTTATTTGAATAAATAACATTACAAAGAACGAACATAATAATATTATTATACGAGTCCAGTCCAGTGGACGTCCTCTCTTCATTCAATAATGTAGTATCCAATAGATGTCGTTTGTTTCATGTCATGTGACAAGTCCAGTGGACGTCATGAGTCTATTTAAAACCTGTCAAACGGTATGTTTTTAACCCTCTATGCACATGGGTCATTTTGGGGAACTTTCCTCGCCTGGTTTTCTTTGTGTATAATTGTTCATAAAACAGTCATCTTTTGATGCAGAGTCAAGCAGTATACTTTGTTTTTTTTCAGTACAACCTGGGGTTTTAGAATATTCATATTGTAAAGCTGTCATATGAATTATATAAAAATTATGGAATCATGAAGACAAAGAAAAAAATCAAACGGAAAATCAATTTAACAAAAATGTATTGAAAAAACACAATGAAATGCTATAAACAACTTTTTACACTGCATAGAAATGTTATTTATGGTCTTGGGGATAATGGGGAAAAAAATTGAATCTCTAACTATTATACTTTTTACAAAATTCCACTATAAAAGCAAAAAACTCTGTACTCCTGATGCCCTTCCTGAAGCAGTTTGTCTATAATGCTGGGGTTGCTTCTGTAGTACAGCTGTAAAAAACGTAAAACATAAGAAACTGAGCCAAAAAAAAAACCCATCAATTATTTATATAATACATATATTTATATACATCATATACACATAATGTCATTTTACTGTATTTATTATCGTCTTTATCAATAATGCGCACTCTTCAGCCGGTTATTGCAATCGCAGCTGTAGTTTCAACTGTGGGACAACAAGTAAACGCAGAGGAGTAAGAGAGCTCACTCTCTGACGATCTTTGGCAGTCCCCGTGTGTTTGTATCTCACAGCTATTTGTACCTCACGGGTCACGCTTTGGACACGGACTTTCAGACAAACGTAGTTTATCCTCCGTGCATCGCACAGACAAATCAAAACTAGTTTCGGAAAGCCCTGAATATGTACTTCAGAGAAAAAAAAAAGTGTGTTGCTACGTTTTACCGTTCGCGAGTAAATTGATCATTTGTAAAACATGTGCGCTTGCATCGGCGCCGATGCACGCGGGCATATAGGGTTAACACTGCCCTGAAGAAGGCCCTGCGTGGCCGAAACGCGTTGGTCCCTTTCCGCATTAAAGGACTTTTTATCAGAGTGCCTCGGATTTCACCCTGTCTTTACTTTCCCACAGTAAAGGGTATTTTTGTTTTGCAATATTAATATACCGTTGGTCAGAAATATTACAATTAGATAAAGTATGTTGCCAAAATTGTGCAGTCCTTTAGTATAAATCTACTGTGTTAAATGTAGTTATGTTGTATGTGCAGGTGAAGGAGAAAGTCTCCAAAGAGGACAAGTCCAAGGATAAGAAGTCCAAAGACCTGACGGCAGCAGATGTAGTCAAACAGTGGAAGGACAAGAAGAAGAAGAAGAAGCCGGGTGTGGAGCTAGACCCCTCTGTGGCTGCGGCTGTGGTGGTGGAGGTGCCCACGGTACGGCCAGTGTTTGGAGCTCCTCTAGGGGAAGCTGTGAAGCGGACGGCCCTTTACGATGCCGTCCAGCTGCCTGCCGTGTTCAGGGAGTGCGTGGACTACATTGAGAACTACGGCATGAAGTGTGAAGGCATCTACAGGGTCTCAGGTACAACATGAAGGCCTCAGAGAAAGGAGACCCAACTGTGTTTTATTTTTATTTTTTTTATTATACTTATTTTAAACTTATGTTTTCATAGAGCTGAACAAAAACATTCACTTTGAAAAATACAGTTTGAAAATGGGTTGGACGAAGCAAATGCTTATTGGACTCCAGTGTTTCCCAATGGATTGGAATCAATGTGTGGGGGCCCCCTCTGCCGGTGGGGGGAGGTGTTATTTTTTTCAGCAAAAAAATATTTTTCAATACTCATCTGGATTGAAGCAGCAAACATTCAGTGTACGAGTAAAAAATGACATAACATTATCTACAATACGTTTGTTTGATTCAAAGCAGCTTCATATAGTGGGTTGACCTGACAACGAATGTTCCCTCTAATTTTTCATGGGTCAGGGCAAAAACACAACCACCTGAGCGGCACGTGAAACACTTTGAGCGAGAGATCTCTGTTGAAAACCATTCACATTTGGATACACCTGCTGTATACACCTGCTGATCTCATTTAAGATACGGTTCAATATTCACTTGATCATTATTCAAACGAGTCTTTTATAGATGGTAAATTAAAGTAAATTAAAGTAGATTGCGGAATATATTTGAATTTCACTAAAAACACAAAATATTCAAAGTGGATTTTGTCTATTCATATTTAATATAGACTAAATAGATTTATACATAGTATACATGGTTTTATTTAGTCATATGCATTATAAAATAAAACACATGGACCAATAATTATCTAAGATAATAATTGTCATATTGCCACAAAACCAACTTTACTCAGCAATAGGCAACTTTTTGCTAAACTGACCAGACCTGGTCTTCCCTACATAAGTGCGTGAGGTGTGTTTGTGGCGCCACGCACACACTGCAGCTGGTGTAGTGCTCGTGAGACACCACTCGCAAGACCGAACACACACACACACACACCTCTTCTCTCAGGGCATCACACTCCCTTCCATGTTACTCCAGTACTTAAAAGATATATTTTTTTTTAAACTGGATCATATTTGAACATTGTTTTATATCAACTGATATGTTCCAAAGTGCCGCTCCACGCACTGAGACACACATTGATTTGAGAGTGGTTCTACATTTTGGCACATATTCGGCATATATTTGTTTGCTTCCTCTTTAATTGTAATTATGAAGAACATCTCTATCGAGGAATACGTTTTGTAAGTGAGGTGGCAGAGACTTTCCAAATGCCCTAAACATAATTTGAGCAGTTTTGAAGTTGATCAAATCCCGCAGCTTCAGTTCTTTCAGGTTTATGAACACTGGATTAGAATAGTGTACATTAGACACAATCCTAATGGCCTTTTTTTGTAGCGTGATCAAAGGATTTAAGTGTGATTTTTAAGTTTCCCCAGACTTCAGCACAATAACCCAGATATGACATTATAAAAGAACGATACAATAAGAGAAGAGCATTGGTATTCAAAAAAAATTTTTCATCATTCCCACGTATTTAGCAACATTTGTCCTTAAGTAACTTCTGTGAGGTTTCCATGTGATCTTTTCATCTATCACAACTCCCAAAAAAATATTTTGTTGAACCTTCTCAATCGTTATATCATCAATTATTAACTTGTCTGGTATGTTACTTTTACGTTTGCTAAACCACATAATTCTGGTCTTTTTCAAATAGTGACAATATATTTGTGTCATCAGCAAAGAGAATACATTTCATTAGTTTAGATACTTTACATCCTTCATTTATATACATCAGGAATAATATGGGTCCCAGTATTGACCCTTGTGGGACTCCACGGGTTATGTCCCTACAGATGTGTGTTGGTCAAACTGGAAAATCTGTCGTCTCTCACATAAGTACCTCTGTATCCATTTTTTTATTAAAATGTTATGGTCAATGGTATCAAAACCCTTTTGTATATCAATGAAAATTCCCAATACAAATTTATTTTTTTCTATACCATCTGTAATTTCTACTACCAAGTTGATTAGAGCATGTGAAGTTGATCTAGTTTTCCTGAACCCATATTGACAGTCAGACAATAAATTATTTCTTTCAATGAAGCCCCAAAGTCTTGTGTCAAATATTTTGGAAAACTGGCAGAAGTGAGATGGGTCGATTTGAATTTTGCGATTACTTTTGCTGTTTTCATTTTGGAGGGAAAGTTGCCATGTGTGTTGGCAACTTGCAGATGTGTGTTAAATGTTTGATAATTTCTATTGCTAGATTACGAACAGCTCTCATATCTATGTCATTAACATCCCGCGATGATTTGTTTTTGCATTTCATAATTACTTTCAGTACTTCCCCCTCATCTGTGGGAGTTTATTTAGAGTTTATTTTAATTAAGCCTTCCAATGACTTATTGTTTGGTATTTTTTTAGCCAATTCAGATCCGATACTTACAAAGACATTATCAAACCATTCACTGCAAAGTATCTTGGGCAACACAGGTTTTCAGAGCCACGACCAATAACTGTGTTTAATATATTCCAAATTCCTTTATCATTGCCCTTTTTGATTAAATAATAATTTGCTGTAATATTCTTTCCTACTTTCTTTCAAAATACTGGTTAATTTGTTATTGTATTTTTTGTATCGCAATTCAGACTCTCTAGTTCCAAGTCTAAAGAATTCTCTATATAAATGTTTCTTTTTTCAGGCATTTGAAAGGCCTTTAGTTAACCAAGGAGTTATTGTGAGTCTTTTATTCTAAATGTCAGAGTTTTTAATATATTTAAATATATTTATGTTTTTATATTTATAAATATGTTTTCTGTTATGCTTTATGAAAATATATTGTTTCTCTCAGGCATGAAGTCAAAAGTGGATGAGCTGAAAGCTGCGTACGACCGCGAGGAGTGCCCGTGTCTGGAGGAGTATGACCCTCATACGGTAGCCTCCCTCCTGAAGCAATACCTCCGCGAACTCCCGGAGAACCTGCTGGGCCGCGACCTGGGCCAGCGCTTTGAGGATGCGTGTGGGCGCTCCCTGGAGGCCGAGAAAGTTGCAGAGTTTCAGCGGCTCCTGTCCGAGGTGTGTCCTGGGAGCTTCTTGCTGCTGTCCTGGCTGATCACGCACATGGATAACGTCATCGCCAGAGAAGCTGACACCAAGATGAACATCCAGAACATCTCCATCGTCCTCAATCCAACCATACAGGTACAAAGCTTGGTCTATCTGATTTTAAGTTTGGGTCTAACTTTCAGACCACAAAAACAGTTTTTGGCTTCTGTGACATCTTTAGATTATCTTTTCAGACATAGACCACCCTCACTCAATCAGCGTTCAAATAGTGACTTGCAGGGCTCTTTCTTACACAAAAGTTAACAGGTTGAAAACAGGTTAATAAGATGAAAACGGCGTGTTGTGATCTGATTTGTTCCGAATATTTTACTTTTACAATACTCTTTCTGTTGGGACAAATTACCATGTATTATCAGAAAACATCTTATCTTTTGCATACTTCGGAGTAATGAGCGCTATGAGTCACTATTTGACTCTGCTGATTTGTTTTTTTTCTTTTCACTTTTTGGCCACCTCTTTAGATCAGCCTTTTCAGACCAAAAAATCATCCATGAACCAAACTGTTATGATTGTTTTTTATCTGCATGTTTGTTTGATAAACACTGTCTTGGCATTGTTCTGACCATCCTTGTTTTCAAAGCCACCGGTTCCGGCCTACTATGCTTTATGTACTCCGCTCACTATTTACGTACATCTGACAATTTATAATTGAATGTTGAAAGCGGAATACAAGTTTATTTCATCAAGTTGTTTAAGATTAATATAGAGGTGACCACTGACTATGATAGCATTATCAAAACTTTTCTATTACTACTATTCTGGAGGGGAATTTGGTGTGCCATAGGGATCGGTATTCGGACCGATTATTTTCACACTCCATATATGCTGCAGTTAGGAAACATCATTAAAAAGCATGGAATTCACTTCCACTGCTATGCAGATGACCCACAGCTTTACCTGTCGATAAGGCCAGGTCAGAGAGATCAGTTGAAAAGGCTTAGTAGTGCCTGCCTAATGGAGCTTTCACACCGCCGACGCTGGAACGCTGAAGCCTCGTGCATCAGACGCACATTCTCTAATTTTCAGACGCAGGGGTCTTCACACCAGAAGTCCTGGCCAGCGCGCCGTAAGTGGCGGAAGTAGCCGGCGGGGATTGATGCTAACGGAGTTAAGCCAGCGGCTTTTTGTGTAAAGTTCTTCTCCAATAATGCAGCTCTACAACGTCTGTGTCCAGAGACCTTCCAGAGACTTTATAACTGCAGTATGTCTTCATACGTTATTAAATTATACATTATTAAACGATACTTTCGCATCGGCGAACAGGCTCGAAGCAGTTGCATAGAGTCACGGGAGCCTGAAAACGCATATGTTCACAAGCACTATGTCCCCCATTGTCAAGCCAAAACAGGAGCTACACCAGGACTAAACCTGGTGTAGCTCCTGTTTTGGCTTGTGACCACTTTGCAGCTCTTATTGGTCGCTGCACGAGCAATGCATCTCCTGTGTGCATCGATTTTCCGCTCCTGCGGATACTTCCATCTCCCTGACAGAGGAGAGATCCGTCCTGACTATTTAAAGTCTTTGGATGTTGTGGGACTGTCTTGGCTGACACGTCTCTGCAACATCGCGTGGCAATCTGGGGCGGTGCCATTGGAGTGGCAGACCGGGGTGGTGGTCACGCTCTACAAGAAGGGGGACCGGAGGGTGCATTCCAATTATCGTGGGATCACACTCCTCAGCCTCCCCGGTAAGGTCTACTCCAAGGTACTGGAGAGGAGGCTATGGTCGAATCTCTGATTCAGGAGGAGCAGTGCGGTTTTCGTCCCGGCCACGGAACACTGGACCAGCTCTATATTCTCCAATGGATACTCGAGGGTTCATTGGAGTTCGCCCAACCTGTCCACATGTGCTTTGTGGATTTGGCCGGGGTGTCCTTTGGGGGGTTCTCCGGGAGTACGGGGTCCGGGGTCCTCTGCTGAGGGCCGTTCAAGCAACAGGCTCGAAGCAGTTGCATAGAGTCACGGGAGCATGAAAACGCATATGTTCACAAGCACTATGTCCCCCATTGTCAAGCCAAAACAGGAGCTACACCAGGACTAAACCTGGTGTAGCTCCTGTTTTGGCTTGTGACCACTTTGCAGCTCTTATTGGTCGCTGCACGAGCAATGCATCTCCTGTGTGCATCGATTTTCCGCTCCTGCACCTCCCCCATGACTTTGCCGTGCAGTCCGTGCGTGCATTCCGAGACGCACATGCATTTTGACGCTCGAACCCGCGTCACCATTGACTTTGCATTGAAAGCCGACGCAACACATGATCCGGTCTAAAAAGACCTAAAAACGTTGATGCAACGTTCTACTTCTTAACCCGGAGAAGACAGTGATCCTACTCGGTCCAAAGAGTCTGCGCGACTCCCTTGCCGATAGGGTTGCCAACTTGAGAAAAGTAAAATAGGGGACACCATTTGGGTGGATCGAGTTGAGAACTAATTTCAATCTACACAGGAACCATGGAATTTTATAGTTAGTTTTTCGAATGTAATTAGTAAAAAACAAATCCTTAGTCAAAAATGAAACAAAACAGGTGGAACTCTTTGGCTGGTAAAGGACTTTATACATGCTTATTAGTCATAAAAAATATAGAAGAGACAAATGATGTAACATACATTTATGTATGTTAAAGTAAAGACCATTTACTATAAAGCCACCATGGAAAGCACTAATTCAAGAGCAGTGATGGGCTCTTGAATTAGTACATGGGCAGTCCCTCCTGTGGGCCCACCATCCGCAGAGGAGTCCGTGGTGGCGCAGTGCTGAGAGGACTGGGCAGCAGTCGAAGGCGGAGACCTTGGCGACCCAGTCCGCACACACATCTGGCTCTTGGTACATGGAACGTCACCTTACTGGGGGGGAAGGAGCCCGAGCTGGTGGGAGAGTTTGAGAGATAGTCAGCCTCACCTCGACACACAGCTTGGGCTCTGGAACCCAACTACTTGAGAGGAGTTGAACGCTTCACTTTTCGGGTGTTTCTCACGGAGAGGTGGCGAGCTGGGGTGGCCATACTCATCGCCCCCCATCTCGGCCGCCACGTGTTTAAGTTCCCCCCCCGGTAAATGAGAGGGTCACGTCCCTCCGCCTTCAGGTGGGGGACTGTTGTGACGGCCTACGGGCCTAACAGCAGTGCAGAATACTCGGCCTTCTTGGAGTCCTTGGGAGGGGTACTGGACGGTGCACCGACCGGGGACTCCGTTATTCTCCAGGGGGACTTCAACGCCCATGTGGGAAATGCAAGGAGAGGGGTGATTGGGAAGAACGGCCCCCCTGATCTGAACCCGAGCGGTGTTCAATTGTTGGACTTCTGTGCGAGGTACGGTTTGTCCATCACGAACACCATGTTCGAGCACAAGGGTGTCCACCAATGCACGTGGCACCAGGACACCCTAGGCCGGAGGTTGATGATTGACTTTGTTGTCGTATCATCTGACCTTCGACCGCGTGTCTCATACACTCGGGTGAAGAGAGGGGCGGAGTTGTCAACCGATCACCACCTGGGCGTGAGTTGGATCCGCTGGCAGGGGAGGAAGCCGGCCAGGCCTGGCAGACCCAAGCGTGTAGTGAGGGTGTGCTGGGAACGTCTCGCTGAGCCCCCTGTCAGACGGACTTTCAACTCGCACCTCCGGGAGAGCTTCTCCCAGGTCCCGGCGGAGGAGGGGGACATCAAGTCCAAGTGGACCATGTTTTCTTCCTCTATCGCCGATGCGGCGGCTCGTAGCTGTGGTCGCAAGGTCTCTGGTGCTGGTCCCGGCAGCAACCCCCGAATCCGGTGGTGGACACCGGCAGTAAGGGATGCCGTCAGGCTGAAGGAGGAGTCATAGCGACCCATGACTTTTCGTGGGACTCCTAAGGCAGCTGTCCAGTACCGCGGCCCGGGCTGTTGCAGAGGCAAAAACCCGGGAATGGGAGGAGTTCGGAGAGTCCAAGGGGTATGACTATCGGTCGGCCTCGAAGAGATTCTGGCAAACCGTCCGGCAACTCAGGAGGGGGAAGCAGTTCTTTGCCAACACCGTGTACGGTGCGGGTGGAAAGCTGCTGACCTCGACTGGGGATATTGTCGGGTGGTGGAAGGAATACTTCGAGGTTCTCCTAAATCCCCCCATCACGTACTCCGTTTGGGAGGCAGAGGCTGAGGATGTTGGGGCGGATACTTCCATCTCCCTGACAGAGGAGAGATCCGTCCTGACTATTTAAAGTCTTTGGATGTTGTGGGACTGTCTTGGCTGACACGTCTCTGCAACATCGCGTGGCAATCTGGGGCGGTGCCATTGGAGTGGCAGACCGGGGTGGTGGTCACGCTCTACAAGAAGGGGGACCGGAGGGTGCATTCCAATTATCGTGGGATCACACTCCTCAGCCTCCCCGGTAAGGTCTACTCCAAGGTACTGGAGAGGAGGCTATGGTCGAATCTCTGATTCAGGAGGAGCAGTGCGGTTTTCGTCCCGGCCACGGAACACTGGACCAGCTCTATATTCTCCAATGGATACTCGAGGGTTCATTGGAGTTCGCCCAACCTGTCCACATGTGCTTTGTGGATTTGGCCGGGGTGTCCTTTGGGGGGTTCTCCGGGAGTACGGGGTCCGGGGTCCTCTGCTGAGGACCGTTCAATCCCTGTATGACCGGAGCCAGAGCTGTGTTCGCATTGCCGGCAGTAAGTCAGAACTGTTCCCCGTGCATGTTGCTGTCCGCCAGGGCTGCCCTTTGTCACCGGTTCTGTTCACTGTCTTTATGGACAGAATTTCTAGGCACAGCCAAGGGTCGGAGGGGGTCCGGTTTGGGTATCACAGGATTTCATCTCTGCTGTTTGCAGACGATGTTGTCCTGTTTGCCCCAATGAATCAGAACCTGCAGCATGCACTGGGACGGTTTGCAGCAGAGTGTGAAGCAGCTGGGATGAGAATCGGCACCTCCAAATCCGTGGCCATGGTGCTCGACTGGAAAAAGGTGCCTTGCCGTCTACAGGTGGGTGGAGCAGTCCTTCCTCAAGTGGAGGAGTTCAAGTATCTCGGGGTCTTGTTCACGAGTGAGGGAAGGATGTAGCGTGAGATTGACAGGCGGATTGGTGCAGCGTGCGCAGTAATGCGGTCGCTGTATCGGACCCGTCGGGGTGAAGAGGCAAAGCTCTCAATTTACCGGTCAATCTTCGTTCCCTCCCTCACCTATGGTCATGAGCTTTGGGTAATGACAGAAAGAACGAGATCACGGATACAAGCGGTCGAAATGAGCTTACTCCGCAGAGTGGCTGGGCGCTCACTTAGAGATAGGGTGAGGAGCTCAGTCACACGAGAGGAGCTTGGAGTAGAGCTGCTGCTTCTCCACGTCGAGAGGAACCAGTTGAGGTGGCTCGAGCATCTGTTCCGGATGCCTCCTGGACTCCTCCATGTCTCTCAGCTGGCCTGGGAACGCCTTGGGGTCCCCCTGGACGAGCTGGAGGAGGTGTGTGTGGAGAGGGAAGTCTGGGTGTCTCTGCTTAGACTGCTGCCCCACGACCCGGCAACGAATGAAGCGGAAGAAAATGGATGGATAGATGGATACTTTTGTTCAACAAAGTAGCTTTTGTGAGCTATAGACCGCGGAAGTCTGAATCTGGAAATATGACGCTAACGTTACCAAACTTCTGCCGTGATGATGGCCCACGCTGGTGCTTGTCAACATTATGCTCACGGATGTGATCATTCCTACGTCCCTTTGACACGGATTGCCCGAAAGTTAGATGCTTAAATTGTGATTACAGCTGCCAATATACAGTTGTAAACATACTGCTGCTAATGTACAGATGCTAACATATAACCACACTTTACTTGCACTATAATACACAGTACTTTATACTTGCCTCTTATTTTGCTAAATGTTAAATTTTAACATCTATTATTATTTTCAAGATAAAGATTATATACTTATTATTGATTCTAGAGTTAGATTTTGTTTTATTTTAATTAGTATAGCTATTGTTCACTTAACGTGCGCTCAATGTGCATTTTATATTACATTGTATTATGCTCTTTATGCTGTCGGTGCACAGAGTACCTTTTTTGCAAATGTATTCCAATGTAGTTTTTATACTGCACATGGCTAATAAAATTAATCTGAATCTGAATCCTCTTTCCTACTATTCTATAACTTGTGATGCAACACCGAAATTTCCCCACTATGGGACAATTAAAGGATCTCTTAATCTTACTGTGTGTGTGAGATGCAGTGAGTGAGTGATGCAACTCTGAAAATACGAGACAAAAGCCGTCCGCACATACAGTAGTTTTTCTAAAATACGGGACAATTCCATGTTTTAAGGGACTGTTGGCAACCCTACTTGCCGACCATATAATCCACTGGCTTCCCGTGGAGTACAGAATAAAGTTTATCCTTCTTTTAACATACAAAGCGATATGGCTTGGCTCCTTATATTCAAGACACGTTAACCTCTTAAACTCCTACATCTGTTTTGGCTCGTGCACTAAAGTTGGGCATACCCAAATGTCTTTGCTTATTTAAAAACACATCTTACATCTCACATGCTTGTGTGATGCATCATTTTAAAGCTAGGCCCTTCTAGTTTATGTAAATATACACTGAAATAATGTATGTCATTCCTATTTCACTCTGCATCCTTTGAAGTTTGGGAAAAAAACCTGTTTTTTTTTAGCCTCGCCTAAAAAATGCAATGTTGCCATATCGCCCAACCCCAAATTAGGGTTGGGCGATATGGGCCTCAGCATGTATCACGATTTTTGTTGGTATGTATCACGATATGACGATATAAATTTTAACAAAGCCTCATATAAAAGCTATAAAAACTTAGCACTGATAATTTTAAACACACTTGCCTCAAAGTGCATTTACTGATTTATTGGCAGCAAAATGTGTAATACAGCTATTGTATATAAAACGTATTAACAAAACTGAATTGTAGAGAATTCTGTTTTGTACATACTGAAAATTGCAGGCAACATGTAATAAAGGTGAACATTTGTAATTTGTAAAATATATAAAAGTTTGTCCTTTGTAATATAAAAAGTGTAGCATTATCAAATAATTATTTGATCACTTTGGTTTATGTTTCCTAATCCCAATATATATATATATATTTTTTGTATCCTTTTGCGTTTCTATAATTATGTAATTATAACTTATTTGTAATTATTATATTGCAATGTAGACAAACACATGCATTGAAGTAAAATGAATGACAGTAAACAGTAAATAAAGCTTACCAATGGCACTATGAGAGAGAGAGAGCGAGTGTCCGAAGCAAGCCACTCGAGTCCAGTTGTTTAGGGCAGCTGCTTTCACAACATTAGATCCACTGTCGATAGTTACACACAATTGCTTCTTTTTATCTAGTTCCCAAACTACTCCCATATGTTTGAGGTAGCTCCGCGTTTTGGCACAATGTCTTCTACAATCTGCATGTCTTCACCATGGTCTTCACCGCCGCCCTCAGCCATGTTTGCTCTCTGCTCTGTTGTTGTTGTCCCTGCACGCCGCTCTGCTACACGTGCCGCGCAGATGCGTCATCAAAGTGCGCCGCACACAAACGTGTCTTCCGCTCGCTGTTTTCAGTGTTAAATGACGAACAAAGCACGAACAAAAGCACGAACAACAGAATGCAAGTGTATTATACAGAGCGGAGGCATGGAGACCTCCAATCAGCAGCTGCCACGGTGCCATGT